TATATATAATGGGACTATTTACCTTTGATACAAAACGATCACAATTAATCTTGACCATTGGATGCGAAATTGAGTGGCTGCATTTATTTCATTGATCAAGCTCAAAATTTGAAATAAATTTTTTTGAACTTTGTGACACACCCAAGCTATCAGATTTCACATCGAATGGTTGTAAGTAATTGTGATTTCATACCAAAAGTACATAGTCTCAATGTATACAATCCCTATACATAAGAAGCATCTACACAATGCCTATAGGCTAAAATGAATAGTATTTTCGCCCATAAGCTCATCGCCGTCTGAAAAAATCGAGCGATATTCATTTTTCAACTGCCACATACCATTACGGACATACTAAGGTCCGCAGCAGTCAAAAAATTCATGCGAAACTACAACGAATGGCACCATAGGTTGCGGATCCATTCAATAAACCACCACAGACAACAAGTCTGTGGTGGTGACGAAACACTGTAGCATCTCACCTTTTAAGAAGTTTTTAGGTTTTTCCATATATGGAGCTCATATCACCCTAGAACCGGTTTGATCCCGCCCAATTTCCCCTAAATAGGTGATCCGTATCCGAAACCACCGGGTTTTAAAACATTACTCTTTCCTGTAGTATAGCCCATCAAAACCAAGAAAAGAAAATTTCATGGGAATGGTATCCTATTTCTAGCGCAAGATCCGTTTAGGGCCTCGAACACAGTGCTGCACGTACACACACAGGATCTATTAAATCATGTCCGATTATAGTCTATGCCGAGTTTTATCAATGTAATTGAATTGCCAATTACATGTGCACTACATGCTTATGGGTCTTCATTGCCATCTCAAGAAGCAAAGTCCTCATAACCGGTCTAATTCCCAAACCAGCGGAAATTATGCATTTTCCACATTGATTACAAACCAAAATAATGAAAACAATGTAATCAACAAGAAGGTAATCTTGATGAACAACTTCTCTAGACAGAGAACTCTGTCCATTTATTCTTGATTTGAGATACATATCTAATGAAAAGCTGATCACTATGTAAATAACCTACTGCCGTTCCAGATACTTTTTAAGTATTCAAGTTTCCTTTCTCTCATACCGCCCCAGTTTCACTTTTGGATTCACAAACTAGAATGCCCAGACTGTAACATATGGCGAAGATGAACACGGTGCCATGAGGTGTTAAGGATTCCTCTCAAGTTCCAGATTTCCTCCACAGTTTCTGGCTGAACATTAGCTGCAGTGTCAACCTGCAGATTAAATAATACAAAGAGGATATGTGTGTGAGAGAGACAGAGAGAGAGAGAGAGATGTGGAACTACTACAAGGCCCAAGAGGTTCGCCTTTGGGCTAAGTGGTTAGGACACGAGGACTGCAGAACAAATATCATGGTTACAACCTGCTTACCCAAACCAGAAGAAGAAAGTACGAAAATTAAAATTCCATTGGGTTTTATAAGAAACTAGAATATTCCAAAAACTCGGGTTCGAATAAAAGAGTCTAATATGAAAACAATGGGAACAATGTGAAAGCACAAAAATTCATTTTAAAGGATGATCCATGTCACCCAACCCCATAGGTTTCCACGACTTAGATGGGAAGACCGATGAGCTCCCTCAATCGCACCAGATTTCAATCACCTGTAGAGAAACCAATTAATCAGTGATAAACATAAAACTAGTTGTGATTCCTCTTAATCCCTAAAGGTCTGAAGATAACCCATGATGGATGGAGTTTCCCTAATTAAATCATGACTCATCTCGCCCAACTCCAAAGATCTTTATCATGTCAAAGGATTCAATGCTCCCACGGGAGCATTTCCTCCATTTACTACTCGAGTAAAACCCAATCTTACAGTACTTTTTTTTTTTTGATAATTCAGTGGGAAAGTATAGGCCCATCTATTTTTTAATAGATTAAGGAGTCACATTTTGAAGGTGTTAATTGGGGGTGCCAGCGTAGGAATGGATACCACGATGTGGTAACTGGGTGTGGGGATGCTACCCACCACGACCCCAGCCACTTTCCTTCTAACAGTACTTTTAGGCCCCAAGGAAGGAACTTCTTCAACCTAGTGATCAACCTCAGAAAAGAAAATTTCTTTTTTGAAAGTGTTAACTGTATTGCAAAGCAAAAGAGAATACAATAGGAAAGAAGTAAAGGCACCCACAGGCCAGAATCCCTGTACAAAACCCTAAAGGACCTAAAAAATGGTGTTGACCCCCAAAGGAGTCTCAAAAAATGCTATACATCTGAAACAAGAAATAAACTGTATAAAAAACGGGGCTTTGAGCTCAAAAAGTTGCTAAATGGATCCCCTAGGATTCCTCAGCCCTCTCCCCCTCCTTTTCCTTCTCCATCCCTCGTCTTCAGCAGAAAACAGAAAAAGAAGGTTTTCTTACAAGACTGAGCCGGAAGAGGCTCTCAACAGCTCATCCCCTTCAGATTCAATCAAGGAAGTTTGCCCTTACCAACCTCACAACAGGGCTCCTGTGGCCTCGCAATGATCAGAGTCACCTATCTCGTGGAAGGGGCCACTTCAGCCTCGGGGATTTTACGCTCATTTTAAAGGCTCTCCCCTCCTCCTTGGACCCTCTTTAAGGCTGTTTTCACATCAGAAGTTTTTGCATGTTATATTGTCTCGCTATTAGAAGTAGTTTTCTATAAATTCTCTCCCCCCTGTAGTCTGAGCACCCAGCTTGTGGGATGCCTTTCTTTCCCCAACTTGATCTAATGTAATCTATCATTTTTTATTCAACAAAGTTTACCAGATTCAAGAAAGAATGGAAGGTCAGGCTGGCCATGGTGGGTCTTGGACCAGTACAGGCTTAAAAAAGAGAGAAGTAATCTATGAAAGCCTGGTCGATCTATGGGCCTTGATCCAGAGTGCGGTTTCTCACTTTTTGGGAGGTGGTGTTATCTATCCTCCTCAAATTCGCAATTTTACGTAAAAAGGCACTATTATGGTCTCCATGTTCGAGCCACTTAACCCTGGATCGCTGGGACCAGTAAATCTCTTCTTTATGTGGGAGTTCCTAGTATGAGATTTTGAGTTGTAATCTCTATTCCCTCTCTTGTGATATGAGGGAGAGCTTCTCTTCAGTAGAGTCCCAGAGATTGATGGAGCGAAGGAGAGCTTCCTTCTGAGCCTGGAACCTATCAGGAAGGTGTTTTAGCCATTCCTTGAGGTCTGCTTTTGGGAGTTGCAGTTTCCGCTAAAGATGGAAGCCAGACCATCCTTGGACCTGATGGGGGTATGAATTCCACCATGAGGGGATGAGGGATGAAATATTAGGGTCCTCTAGCCAGATTAATTCGACGCAGAAAGCTTTGGCACCCCAAGAAACCAGAGAGGTGTCCAAAAGAATGGGGTGATGATCTGATTTGGGTTTCAGTAGGGCCTAGGAGTGGGTGCCGGGGAAGGTCGCATCCCAATAAAGAGGTGAGAATTCTATCTATTTTGGATAGAGTGAGCACGGCCAAGTGGTTGGATCAAGTGAATTCAGCCCCTTGAAGAGGGATGTCCAGAAGTTGATTCCTTGCTACAAAAGCCTAAGAAGTTTACCATTTGCAGGGTGATACTGGAGCTAGAGTTCTGCTCATAGGACCACCTGGTCACATTGAAGTCTTTCCTAGAAGGGGGTGAGAGGCTATGATATGTCAAGTTCTTGCCAAAAGACGTCCCTCAAGGAGTGGGAATTGGGGCCATAAATGAATTTCCACAGCAGGTTGTCAGAGTTCTTGCCAAAAGAGGTCTCTCAAAAAAGAAAATTTTCAAACCCACTGTTTATGAGACCGAAAAAATAACAACCTAATATTAAACAGAGACCATCAAATATTCAGATAGTCAGACCTAAGTGTTTTAAGAATTCAAAATCCAAATTCTTTTTCTTAAAATTTCTGCTGTTTCTTAGGTGGAAACCAAAATCTCAAATTGAAAACATCCTCAATTGCTCTTTTTCCAAAGGGAATAACTGTACGGTATATGCTTCTGCATTACCATGTTATATGCATTGTGGCACTAGTGTGATTGTGCTGGTTCAACAGCATAGTTTTTTATTTATTTGATAGTTAATAGAATTTCTTTGAAAGTAGACGGATGAAATGTGGAACAGAAAGACTTGGACCCCACACGACACCAAACACAAGACACGCCCTTAAACCCACAATGCTTCCCTACTAACGCAAGGTTCTGCATCCCCATTTGTTTCACTTAGAAGAAATAGAAGAATGCATCTTTAGACTCACAAATATTAAAAACTTCTTCGAAAATCATTGCTATCTGCCAAAGGGAGGATGTCTTGTTCTTAACCTAACTAATAACATTAAGATAATCACCCTCTGTTATAACATAATGCCCTAAATTAAGGCCAAAGATGGGAAACCGTTTGCAATGCCCTGCGTTTGCAACCACACAATCACAGCAGCACAATGACCCAAAAAACTCTTTAGTCGCTTTTACCCCCATGCAAATCTAAAAATACCACCAAATTCCAAATGGTCCAAGACACAGTCATATCCATCAACAGAATAACATTTTCTGTTTTCCTTTTTCCATAAGATCAAACTACACGGACCTGATCCTACTCTTCAGAAAATTCAGGAAATTCGAGCTTTCCAAACTTGGTCGTTTCGGTCATGAAACCACTGCAGGCCCACATTATTTTTAGCGAGAAAAACCCATTAACACCCCAACAATCATCAGCCAAAAGATTTTTATAGAAAAGACTACAAGCAAGCCCCAAAGAAAAGACTAGTTAACCAATCCTCAACTTTCTTCTGAAACACTACCCTATCAATGGGTTTCTTCGACAGTTTGTGGGAGAGAGGTTGGTAATTACTCAATCATTCTACTCTAAGAAGAATATAAGCCTGACATCATTCATGATACTGATTCCAATACGAATATCAATTTCAAAATCCGCATGGCCATAACTAGTTATAACTGAAACCATTTCAGTATTCTACTCCCAAAACAGTACCATTCTTAGAATTCGCCCAATTCTTTTTCTAGTTAATAACAAAAACTTTATTTATATCACAGATCTCTAGAATGTATTTCATCGCATATAATAAGAAAGATGAAAGAAACAATAAGAAAGATGAAAGAGGTGTACCGCTTTGGCTATTATCTCAGCATTTTTTGGGACATCAACCTGTGCCTCAAAGAGGACCCATGCCCACTTGTCACTGTTGATGTCATCTGCAATATAAGGTGCATCTCTTTTCTGATGCCTTGAAGCTTCCAACCATGTTTTTCCACCGTCAACGGATATGTCCACTCTCTCTATGCCACGCCCTCCTCCAGAGGCTGCATACCCACTTATTTTTATCTGCCATATAAACATCAACAGTTAGTAACCTTAGTTTTATCTTTCAATTACATTAATGCCTCTGCCCTGAAAAGGCAATAAATTTTTATAATTCATGCAATGAAATTGGTAGTCAAGACAATTGTCACTAGGATACAATAACAATGACCAAGTCCATGGACAGATGCCCATATAAGAAGTGATGAGCAAAGAGTGTCAAGTGGAGCAACTGAAGACTATAGTCTATGGTGCAGCAGATTCCACCCAACGCACGCATCTATTTGGAGGATACGAACACCAGGCGAGCTATTAAGAAGAATAAGAAGAACAATGTCTGATTGGGATTTTTTCAGTTTGTTTTGGAATATCTTTTAGGTTTATTTTCTGTTTAGTTTTATTTTTTATTTTCTTTTATTTTTTGGTTATGTGAGGAACATTCTAGGCATTTTACCTTAAGTAAGTTATGGTATATTAACTGTTTTAGTCAATATTTATTTGGTTAGGGGAATTATTGAATTTTGTAATAAAATAATGAATAAAAGGAGGGGCACGGGGCTCCATGAGGGCTGGTTACAAGATTTGAAAGAAAAAAAAAAGAGAACAACTTTGGAAAAAAAAGAGAATAGCTTTGGCTAGAAATCGTTGTTGGGATTGGAATATGAAACCCTAGGTTTCTTCAGATTTGTGTGTCTGCTTGGCCTTGAAACTGTAGGTTTTCTGTTTTCTTCATTAAAAATCTCCATCAATTGATATCAAAGCCAAATAAACAGATATCTGCCACATCCTAGGTGGGTAGCCTATTTGCAAGATTTTACTTTTGTCATTTGAAATAAAGCATGCAATTAGGACAGGGTGGCGGGTGCTTTGAGTAAAAAGGTCAGCTTTGTTGGTTACAGTAACAGCAACTGTTACAGGGTTAAGCTTGCCCTAGGAACTGTTATTTTTATGTTTTCTTCATCAAAAATCTACATCAATCTATCTCTTAGACTTCACACTTATGCTTCTTGATCAATGATCTCTCTCTCTCACACACACACACACGCCCCAACCATTGTCCTCCAAATGCATCAAACGCTCACACTACATCATGTGGATAGATCACCATCAGCTAGAAAGGTGGTGGATTCCATACATCAAATTTAAAGGTGGATAGCATACAGCCCCTGGAAGATTGATGGGCATAAATCACACTAATGGGTAAGTCTCCATCATCTCATCCGGTGGATGATGTCTCACCCCAATGGGAGGATATCTGCTACCGAGACAAATGGATAACCATCACAATTGAGAACATACCATGATCCCATGGGATGCTCAACTGTCCAAACTAGCCTTCGCAATGACGATCTCGTAGTAAAATCAAAAGACTGTTAGTTGAAGATCATGCTCAACAATTGCCATGATCCTATAAGTGTAGTCAGCTATCAGAACTATCCATCGTAGTGCAAATATCGTATTCAAATGATCGCTACTCGGAAGCCTTGCTCAACTACCCAAATAACCAAACTAGTGTCACACTGGGAATATGAATGCTGCAGTTATATAAGAAGCCAGCTAGTTGGCAGTCATTTGGTGACAGTTTCGCCTCCCAGGGATTTCTCCACATTAGACTTTTAAAGGCAAACAAGAAGCAGGTTCAAGGCAAGGCACGAAGTGGCTCAACCTTTTGGTTGAGAGTGTTGGCTCTCAACCGATACGAGGAGTGCTTTAGGTCTCGACCATTAGGGAGAAGGAAGAAGTGACTCAACCAATGGGGAGAGGACGATTGTCAGACAACAAGGTGAGTCAGTACTCATCCAACTACTAATGCTAATGATTCTTCCTACGGTAATACCCAGAAGGTTCTTATTAGCAAGTAGGAGGGAAGCGAGCAAGAAAACTATACAAATGGATAACCATCATAATCGTGAACATGCCATTATCCCATGGGATGCTCAACTGTCCAAACTAGCCTTCGCAATGCCGATCTCATAGTAAAATCAAAAGAGTGTTAGTTGAAGATCATGCTCAACAATTGCCATGATCCTACAAGCACAATCAGCTATCTGAACTATCCATCATAATGCAAATCTCGCATTCAAATGATTGCTACTCGGAAGCCTTGCTCAACTACCCAAATAACAAAACTAGAGTTGTACTGAGAATACGGATGCTGCAGTTATATAAGAAGCAAGCTAGTTGGCAGTCATTTGGTGACAATTTCCCCTCCGAGGGACGTCACCACATGGTTGAATGACTTCTACAAATATTTTGAACAAGTGGGAGAATGTTAGAGAGAATAAATTGCCTCTAAAATATGGTAAATTGCCTCTAAAGAGACACTTCCAAAGTGGAGGAGGTAGCCTAAGGAAGGGGAACAAAATAGCAATTAATGCTAAAATTGTAGCACCAGCAGACACCTCAAATTTTACTTGATTAGTCCAACTATGACTATTTCATTTTTAAAACAAACTGGACAATGCTTTGATGTTTGGGAGTACAGCACTATTTGGGAATTAATAGTGTCGGAGCAAACCTTTGAAGAATAACTGCAGGCCGGAAATGGGTAAAACCAAGTTCAACCCAGGTTTGGATTGTGAACTTAAAGCCTGCATCAGGCCTGTCACCAAGAGTCATGATCGGGTACAAGCCAAAAAAATTAGATGGGCTCGAGCCATTGCACGAACCAGTCAACTCCATTTAAAAAAGGAAAATTCTTTCGTTGGGGTATCAATTTGACATTCAAGCCTGAGATAGCATGTCAAATGTCAACACTAACCATTGAAGCCACTGCCAAGGATATTAGAAAAGTTGTTACAGATATTTATATTACATAGGCCTGAGCCATTAAAAAAAAATGGTGCATCTCGTAAGACATTATCTAGACTGTCCATTTTCAAAAAAAATTAAGTATTTATAGATCTGCTCGATCTACATCACTTTTTTAAGTTTAAATTTCATAGTTGTTGTATCTATTTCCGGCACCAAAACTACATCTTTAATTAATATTTAAAGGTGAGTCGCACCTTGATTGATTAAGGTCGACACCTTATACACATCATCATCATCAAAGCCTTTTCCCAACTAATTGGGGTCAGGTACACGAATCCTGGTCCCCCATTTTGCTCTATTAAGGGTCATACCCTCAGTGAGGCCATAAGTCTTCGTATCTTTTGTCACTACTACAACCATATCCTTTTGGGCCTACCCCTTGCCCTTTTTGAGTCTTCCACTTGAACTAACTCGCACCTCTTAACAGGCGTTGTACTAGGTCTGCACCACGCATGGCTAGCCCACCTAAGTGTATTTTCTCTCATCTAATCGCCTATTGGTGCCACACGTAAATTCTCTCGAATGTATTCATGGCACCTTGTACACACTATAACCATATTTACAGACACACATACACCATAACCATAGTTACATATATACGTACATACATACAATATATATATGTATTAAGGGTTGTACCCAGCCATGGCTCGTTAACTAAATGGATCCTAAACTTAAGGTTTGATGACCAAGCCACATGAGCCCTTTTTCCAAACCCAACCAGGTTTGTGTTGGCTGACCTACTCGACCTGCAGGGCTGGCCCGGCCCACTTGCAGCCTGAAATAACTCTTGGGTTTCAGCACTATATTTTCCTTCAAGATAGTTATTTCTTCCATATAGGCCATCATATCCATATATTTTTGTGTAAGCTGTTATGTCATTAGGTTGCATCAGCTTACTATCCATCACACTAAGTTTAAAAAAACTCCAATTGAGACCAAAGTGCTTCTCGATAGAAAGTTTGCTATATAATATATATGTGGTATGGTATATGAAGAGGAAATGATATGTGGAAGTGTAAAAAATAAAATGCCCAAGTCAAAATTAAAAGAAGAAATTACACAGTTCAGGAATACTTGACCTAGGATTTGGGTTGAAAAATCAGCATATATTCACAGCCCAATCTATGTTACAGAGTAGAGATAACCATTTTAGAAGAAAAAGTTTGCATAGGAGTGACAATATGCCATACTTGAGGTATTCAGACAACACAAACTATAAACTTTTAGTCTTGCATAAGTTGAACTAATGTATAAAAAAAATTGTTTGTTAGCATAAATTCTGGCTAGCAAAAATTCTCGCCGATAACTGCGTAGGTTGTGTGTGGTAATTTGTAGTTGTACTACATACACATCACATACAATAGTGTAAGCCATTATATCTCTAGAATCATTGTTCGTTAACAATTTCAACATGTTTCGATCTACTAGTTGCATTCCATGGTAAGTTACCGTGTTATTTTCCTAGTGTCAGTGAAAGAAGTAATTACGAGTCTTCTTAACTGACCCCACATATGAGGACGTTCATCAAAGTATTCCCCTAAGAAACCATGTCTATTCATGCATTTCTATGATTGACTAATCAAGCAGACACTGAAGAACCAAAGTACACACCCATTCCATGACTGAACCGCTTGTTTGCACAATTAAAGTTCACATTTGCCAATAACATGTACAAATATGTGTCAAGACACTTTTGGAAGCATACCCACACCCTATATGATACACATCCGCCCTTCAAAATTCAACTGAGACTTTTGACCAGTGTTACCAACTCAAATTTAGTGTCAGACACATGAGGCTCTATGAATTGCCCATTGTGTCCCCAAAAATTTTGACAAGTTCAAATCCCATACTTCAGACATGACTGCTGAAACTTCAGACTAACAATGCTAGGTTTGGTTCAAATATTGTGCTATACACATGAGGCTCAGCATATTGGGCATTGACACATGCCCAGAAATTTGCGGGCATGGTCCAAATTCCATACATGTACAATCATGATTTAGGCACGTCTCCATAATTTTTGAATGTGCATGTTTAAGAGTTGCACATTCTCTCCATGCATTCATCATATTAAAGAGCACATGTCAACAGACACTGAATCCAAAACTATATTAATCTGAGTAGAAACCAATAATTTATTAAAATTATCCAACAAAACAAAAAACAAAACAAAAATGAGCATCTTAAAAGAAATATGGCATTAAAGTTAAAACAATTGAAACTGAGCTCCACCCATATGATGACAAGAGAAGCTACCACTAGACTAAGAAATTATCAGCAATCTATCAGAAGTTAGAGCTTACACTACCTCATACATCTAAAACTAAGATTGCTAACCTTATCTTGTGATGCAATGGCCTCATCCTCCAATGAACAAATAGCACACTGTTGAAAAGCATTCGGGACACAACAATTAAAACTCAATAGAAAATGCTATAGGTAATGACATTACAAAAGAAGCATCTATACTTTGCGAAATCAAATCCATCTAGGTCAAGCAAAAACAAGAAGTAGCATAGGAGTTTGCCACCATTTTTTTTTTCTTTGAGAAATAGTTTGCCACCATTCCTTTGTGTGCAATCAAAGATTTCATCTATTTAATTATCCAAGTGAACACCAACAGTCAGGAATGGTCGAGTGGGACTCGACAGTAAATGCAGATGTGAAGGAATGAAGTCCCAAGAAATGCACAGGCAACATAAGATACAAGATCTCATTTCTTGTTAGCACATGAACAATTTAAGTTGTTAGTCGCATGAATGTTATGCAAAACCATCTTCATTGTTCTAATGTACCAATAGGTAACCGAAAAGTCAAAGGCCAATTTGTATGAGTTTTGAAGTTTGAAACCAATGTACCTAATCAATGGCTCCAAAAAGAGATAGTCCAATATTTCATTCAAGTGCTGGATGTATATTATGAAACTATTGTTGTACTACCTGTACAGGAAAATCCATCTGTGGGCGTCGGGTAGACCAAATGATATTATCCCAATCAACTGAAGGTGGGAACATCTTGTAATCCCTTTGCATAAAGAATCCCTATTTGTTACCACATTCGTATCAATGACATCATCAATTTTATGAATCAAAGAAAATGGATAGAAGTTCATAAATATTTTTAAACCTGGCATTCTTCTGCAATTATATTGATGCTATCCAACCACTTAACAGAACGTGCACCAATGATGCCGGGAACAATCCCACGCAGCGGATAACCATGGTCACGATTGAGAATCTTCACATCAAAATATCAAATTAAATTTAGTAAATAAATTTCCAAAAAGTAAAATAAATAACTAAACTCAGGAATGTAACATTGAAAGGACGTGGCCACCAACATCCAACAGAGAAATGAGCATTGCCTTCTCTGTGAAATGTTAAAGCATTGGAACTATGCCAAACTATTGATGATTACGAAATAATCTTCCAAAATCTGTGTTAAACATGAGCTGGATGGACAAAATATTAAATAATTCTTTGCCGGCTCATAGGGCAAGGAGATATGCAAATTGCACACTTGCAGTGAGGCGAAGAGGAAATATCAGCATCAAATTAAAAGCTAATAAAATTACAAGAAATTCATTGTTATCTGGAACTGAAAAACTGACCATATTTCCAGAAACTAGCGAGAAAAAAATTGTACTCTTGAAAACATCTGAAGCTCCCATTAGATGAAGCACAACTTCAGCAATCCTAGCAGCGAAATCTATTCTATACAAGAAGTTGACACATTTGGAGCATCAAACGAGCGGACAATGTTCATATTCACATCTAAATTCCTAACAATCTAGGACATGCAAATTTAAGCATTCCATGCATTAATAATCCGCACGCTTTCACTTTAAAATTGCACACAAGAAAACATACTCTAAGTTTCTTTATGGTTGTGAAACCATAGTATGACATCTTTTCCAAATTTTCAACACATTACCATAACGTGGATTAAAATCAAAAGTCAAAATAATGTCCTGGTTACATAATAAACATACGCATAAATTTCCAGGACTTGTATCTTGATAGCATAAAAACAAACATGCATGAGTAAATTCTTACATGCTGAAAATAGGATTTCATGTTCGAAATTTATTTTATCTCATTTAATTTTTAATCAAAATGAGAATATGAAACTAAAATAAACAAACAAACTTCTTATTTAGTAATAATTAGACTGTTGTTTCACGTTTACTAATTCATGCCCCTTTACAGGTTTTTAATAAAACAAACTTGAGCATTTATAGTTTATAAATAGGGATAATTTAATAAAAAAGACCGCACTTTCAATATCTTGGATCGATAATCAAAGAGAATGGAGAGATCAAGGAAGATGTTGCATACAGAATTAGAGCTGGGTTGGCGAAGTAGAGATATGCAACTAGAATTTTATGTGATCGCTGCATACCAATGAGGCTGAAGGACCAGATTTATAGAACAACGGTGAGACCAGCTTTGCTCTATGGGGTAGAATGTTGGGCGGACAGAAAGAGTGTAGCGGAGATGAGGATGTTGACATGGATGAGTGGCAAGACAAGAAGATAGAATTCTAAATGAATTTATTCGAGAGAATTTAGGTGTGGCACCAATAGGCGATAAAATGAAAGAGAGTAGACTTTGGTGTGCTGGCCATGTGTGGCACCGACCAAGTACAACACCTATTAGGCGGTGTGAGTTAGTTCAAGTGGAAGGACTGAAAAGGGCAAGGGGTAGGCCCAAAAAGACGTGGTTGGAAGTTATCCGAAAAGATATGGGGACTTATGGCCTCACTAAGGATATGGCCTTTAATAGAGTAGAATGGAGAACCAAGATTCATGTAGCCGACCCCAATTAATTGGAAAAAGGCTAAAATGATGATGATGATGACATAGGGATAATTTAGAAATTCACACTACAAGTTTTTGAACCTCTAACTCGAGGAATTTCTATTTTCAAATTTATAAATTACAAGCTTCAGTATTTGCTCATAATATTTGGAATCATTGCTCAGAGATTTTGTTTATTTTGAGAAGTTCTGTGGTAGCCTCTAGGTTGAGAGTTAACCTATGTACGAGCTCTGTCATGTGGGTTTGAGGACGAGGAGTTGGAGAGACCAGCAAGCTGATTGGCATGCCAAGTATCTTCTCTATACAGTTCCTGTTTAGGGTTGCATTGTGTGTCAAAAAAAAATTTCTAGGATCCTATAATTGAGCATATTGAGAGTAGGTTGAGTCTGCTTGATTAAGTTACATGAAGTTGTGCTTAAGAGAACAGATAAAGGAAAATGTATCCATTCAGAGAAGGCTGAGAGATAGAAAGTGAGATAGCAAGGAGGGATAAGAGGAAGGAAGAAAGCTTGGATGGGGATGCCAGGTCCTCTTGTCAATCAATATAGAGTCACTTCCCACTTCATCATAGGCCTACATAGGTTTTAGTATCGGACTCGCAGAGAATATAACAATAAGATCCATCTCCCACGAGCCAATCTCCCTGAACTCCACTATAATATCTACCACTACTCTTTCTTATGAACTTACAAGTTTACTTCAATATTCTTTATGCTGCATCCTTGGATCGGATAGACAATCTCTTCTGTGTTGGCCTCTAGGTTGAGAGTTAATCAGTGTAAGCTCTTTCATGTGTGGGAATCGAGGGAGAGGAGTTGGAGAGACCAGAAAGCTGATTGGGATGCCAAGTATCTTCTTTATGCAGTTCCTGTTAGGGTTGCATTGTGTATCCAAAAAAAACCGTGGGATCCTATAATCGAGCGTATTGAGATTAGGTTGTCTGCTTGATTGGAACAACTACTTTCTTTTTGAAAGTAGGACTGCTCTTTTTTAAGCTACACTGGCTAAGATGCTTCTTTGCTATATGACTCTCTTTCATATGGTAGCCAGAGTAACAAAAAGAATAGCGAGATTTTTTATGGGTGAAACTTGCATCATGTAAAATGGGAGGTGTGATGATCCAAGAGGAAAGAGGTCTGAGCCTTAGAATAATCTAGATTGCCAATTATGCTCCGTTACAAGTGGTTGTCGGAATTGGGAATATAGTGAGTTGTGGACAGAGGTGATCCAAAAGAGAGAACACAAAGGGCATCTAGGATGCAGAGCCCAAGGGACCCAGCAGGACAGAGAAGGTATCTGTAGGCACACTAATGGAATTTATGGCGACTTTTTTGACAAGTCCATTTTGTACTAGGTGATGATGGCTGAGGTATCAATATAAACCAAATGACAAAAAGAAAAAAAGAAAAAGATGGTCGACATATCAATTGATGGTTTCTTGGTGGGTGAGCGACTGCCCTTTGAGCGTTAACTACCTTAAGTTAGTCAGGGTGTTGTAAATCCTCATGCATTAGTGGTGCTCTGTGTTCAGAGAGTTGGGAATGGAAACATGGAGTGCAAGCAAGGATCCCAAGGATACGGACTTTGTACATCTTATGAGATGACAAGAGGAGGTGTAATTTGCATTGAAGGGGCTAAATCGGCAAATTTGGATTAAGGAAATCAGAGAAGTATTACTTAGCAGAAACGAAGGAAGACAAAAGAGAAGCAAAAGAGAGGAGTATTTAACTTCGAAATAGTTTTATTGGGTACTCAAACGGGACACTACTGCAACTGATCCTCCAAAATCATATGCTATGCAATGCTATGGTACTCCAGATACTTTACCCCTTTTAAAGTTACCACTAGGTTCATGAAAACTACCTTTTTCCACTCCAATCCCTCTTTCCTACAAAAATTACATAGATAAAAAAATTCTAGCTTGCGATAATAAGATTTGGATATGAATGCGTCATATACAACCAAATACATTAGATTAATGCGACTTTTCATTAGAAAAAGAAAACAGTGGTGTACTTCTTGTAGGAATGAGAAATTCCAACCTCTCCATTCATTTCATAAGCAAGTAGAACATCCGCTTCAGGATTTGTCGCATGGCGTAGAGGAATTGATGCTTTGTACGGACCTCCATTCTCTTCCTGGTATTTTCCCAAGTTAAGAAATACAATAAACTAAACATGAAACTTCTCAATTTTGCATTCATGAATATCCATGCAAGAGTAAAGTAAGAACTTAACCCAAACCCTAGAATGTTTTAAGCAATCAAAGTTATGAAAGCCCTCATACATATCCCATGCACGGAATCTCCATAGCTAGCCAGTGTCAAATTTCAAGATTTGATTACTCACTTTACACATATCAACACTGACAAATTCCACATGCTTGCCTCCTAATGATGTGGATGTTGTATTCTTACAAATTCCAGCAAGTTCAATAACATCTGCTAATTTAGCTCCCCCCCAAATAGCTGAAAATCATTTTACAAATAAAATACAATAAGCCAAGGTAAAACAACGCATATCAGCCGTACAGATTTGTAGTAGGTCACATTTATGCATCCTAGATCAGTGTAAGTTTGCAACTATTTTGCCCATCAAAACTTCCAAAACCAAAAAGAAGGAAGAAAAAAACACCCAGCAAGCTCCAAAATCAAGGCATAAGAACAATTCAGAACACAGTCAAGAAACCAAGCATGACCAAATGCAACTCTAGGTGATACACTAGATTTCACCAACACTGCAATAGGAATCTCCTGCCTGAGAAATTGGTGGTGTGTCTCTATATGCTTGCATCAAGCATGAAATGATAATAAGAATACACTCATTTGTAACTTATTTATATCATTCCTTCCAAGCTATAACAAGACCACTTTGAAAGATTCTGAGAAGCAACTTCCAGATATCTAAAGCTTGAAAACACCTTCTAGGATGATGTGAATGTTGAGTTCAATTTATCAAACCTCTCTTCCTTCTAAAGCAAAGGTCTCTTTTCTTGGAGAGAATTTTACATATAAAAGAGTTTCATGCCTGTCTCTTATAGAAAACATTAAAGAAAACAAATTCGGAGAGCACTATACACGAAAAAAGTTTACATGAGGAAGCCCTAATGCGTCAAGCTTAGCCAGACACATCCAATAATGGAACACTTTCATGACTCTATCAAGCGAGGCCATATATTTGAGAAGACATACAAGCACCTCAGGAATTTTCCAATACCTCTTTATAGACCAACCCTAATGCATTTTAGCATTCCTTGAGTAATGAAAACCATGCAAGATACGAAGTTTACCACTCTTAGAACCTAACTGGGGTAAAAATCAAAGTTTAGGACATGTCATAAATGTGCTGAATAACGATAAGAACCCAGAATATGCAATTTTCAGATACACTAGTATGATAGATACAATGCATATTTCCAAGGACAATGCCTGAATGGCCTTGAGTATAGAGATGAGGACAAAAAATACACAGATGTGATGATTATTTTCTTTTATCTGATAAAGATTCATTCACCAAATTACCACTACTCCAAAAACGGTTCATATCTCTTTTCCATAGATAAACAACTGTAAGTTTTAGTTGCATCAATTTTCTCAACCTAAGCGATTTTTAGTTCTCAATCAAGTGATCTGAATTACAGGCTCAAGTCCTTGAGCGCACCTATAAAGATCTTAGTAACCAGTTTGCTTATCTGCTCAAACGATCATGTGTGGCGCTTTGTATAACACAACTTCTACTTCCCAAGAGCGAGGTCATAGTCTTATGGAGATATATTGAATTTTGCTTAAGACAGAGAATGAATTTTGCATGAATTGTGGAATTCATTGTCAGGTCTTCCTTTATTGATTATTATAAACATCTGAAAATATTCCCATCAGGTGATAGATATGTTCGCCAACATGGGAATTGCAAGTTCATTTTTCTTTATTACAAGTTGTTACTAAATAAAAATGTTTCCCTGAATATATTCTTTTTTCTTTTTTTTTCTTTTTTTGAGCATTTTAAGCTCCCACTTTATACACAATGGTTGCTTCTCAAGCATATTGGAAAATGCAACAAACCATTCTTCACTCTCGAATTTAATAAAACATGCCATTTAGCTATAGCTCGAGAAAGAAAGAAATCGTTGTGAACGTAACAAATGAGGCAAATCATAATGCTTAATAATACATACGTAGGTAGGTTGTAATTCACGATCCGTACCTTTTCGTAATAGGAACCATTCTATCTTAGGCACAAGGCATTTTGAGTTGCCTTTATTTCATATAGGGTAGTACTTTAGCTTGCACATTCAAATACTGCAATATTCAAACTAAAATGGCAGATTGTGTTACTATGCACCATTTGGCTGATGGTCCCTTTTTTTTTTTTCTCCTTTTTTTTTTTTTTGTTGTGTGTGTGCGTGCGTGTGTGTGTGTTGGGGGAGGGGGCGAGGGGCGGGGGAGTGTTAATCCTTTGGTGACTGTCAACAAAAGTAACAGCTCAAGTGCAGCTGTCGGAAGTACAGTCTGCCTGATCAGCCAATAATTTGTTTAACTAACAAGCTCCATTCTTCACAGCTAATGCCAGGCCCCATATTGTCATTAACAAGGGAACATGGCCAGCCTAGTAGCGTGTGCAAAGTCAAAGAATGGAAAGATATACAAGAATTTAAAAGCCAAGGAACATATTCAATGGCTTACCCAAAAAAAAAGAACATATTTAATGATGTAATCTAGCCAGTCACAAATCATTAGACAAAAAGAAAATGGGTGATCAACATCATTCAATTCTAATGAGTATTCTTAAAAATAATGTTTGACAAGTCAAACTCATCAAAAGACTCCCTCACTGCCAAACCCAAGTCCACTTACCAATTCAATCAATAAAAAATACAAAAACTCGGTAAGTTTCTCAAGTTCTGTGTGAATTTTAAAAAAAAAAGAAAAGAAAATGTCAATCATGGGAATTGAATCCAGCTAGTCAATCAAGCATACCACAATGCCACCAGTCTAGAAGAAACCCTTTTTAGCCAAATCAATAAAAAATTAGATAAAAGGAAAAACTAAGGCACATCCCAATTTTTCATTTATAAATTTACCCAACTGACAAGTTGAATTGATTCAATGAGTTTTTCAACACGGAAATGAGTTTTAATTCGCTGTGAAGTATCTGTCTTTAATATGTTGTACCAAGCTTCCCATTTAAGAAAGCAGTTCCAAGTAAGGGAGAGAGAGGGAGAGGGCGCACAAATAACGCTCCAGAAAACAAACATGACAACAGTAGTGAAGAAGGCAATGGAGCTCTTATATTGTCAGAAGTTATAGTCAAAGCCAAGGGTACCCTCACTGCTAGTCCAACTAGTTGACTTAAACCAGATGTGAAACACAACAAAAACCATAAGGTCAACCTAGAACTCTCTTGTTCTCCAATAACATGAGCAAGCAGCACTTGTGGACCCAACTCAACGCGCATGGAGAGAGATGAAACTCATATAGGAAAACTCCATGAATGACCAGTTCCAAGTTTCTCCCTTAGATAGCTCACAAGCAAATAAAAAAAAAAACACTTTCTAAAGTATGAATCATGTAACATAGAATGATATCAAACAACACAACTATGGTGATTGTAAAAATTTAAATAAATTTCTAACCGTTTCCAATGGCAGAAACATCCCAACCAACACCTTTCACTGTTCTCTTCTTGCTCATTGCAGTCCTCCTATTCCCAGCACACTATATCATAGAAAAAAGATTACATGAACAAGACAATCCTTGTTAACCGATCCCTTAAAAATTGGTTTTTGCAGCACAATTATGAATCCAATGAAAGAGCAAATTGACTGTAGTTCAAGGGTCATCACCATCATTGAAGCGATGGACAGTAATGGAAGGAGTGGAACCCACCATTTGGGATCACATTCTGGGGGTTCCACTCTCTCTCCATCATCATGCATGAATTCAAAGGATCGTGATACATTTAAGATGCATTGCTAATCAAAATCAGCTTTTATAGTACAACTATGAAAGCCATTAAAAAGGAAAGTATACTATAATCCCATGGACCATGGAAAAACCAGAGTACAGAGGATCATCACCATCATTGGAGTGATGGACAATGAAGGAAAGGGTAGGAACCCACTATTGATTATCGTTCTGGTGTTCGTTAATATAATGGATGGTGATACCCAAAAGATAGTCAATTGGATTATAGTACACAATGAGAAATCGGTACCATTTTGGAGCAGAACAACTCACTTGTAACGTGGCTGTCACATTGTATTTGGGAAGTTTCCTATGATCAGTTACAAAATATAGTCAATTTCCATAGTCAAGCAAGCATGAGTAACAGGAAATCAGGAGTAGACAAATCTAAGTTGCTCTCAACCAAACCATCACTCACTTGATATCATCCATGGATAGCATTATAGATTTTGGTAACAAACCAGTAATGGAAACCCGATAACTGTCCCACCAAAGAAATCACTTATGTCAGACTAGACTACCAAGCCTAAAATGCAAAATATAGGTGAACAAACATAATACAAATTGTGAACCATTAGATCACACAATATGACCTCTCAATGTCATCCACAATTGGAATTGGCCCATGATTTCTTTTGTAGAACATATCCACAGGAGTCACATAAGAGGAAACCAAAGCTGAACGAGGAGGTTCAGAATTGAAGGGTTCCTGCATTAAGAACAAAAGTAAGATATTAAAGTCCAGTAATCCTATGTCAATATTCCTTTCCCTTTTCTTTTGCTAATTTGTTTGGAAGGGCAAGTGCATTTTGATCGATTCCTTTTCTTTTCTATTTTGAATAAGTTAACTGTTGGATTAAGTAAAAGAAAATGCAAGAGAGAGAGTTTAGGCACCCTATAAATTAGGGGCCCAGTACAAAAACCACTAGGGTCCAAAAAATGTCAGCACTTAAAATGCTATAGAGTAACAACCGATAGATGTAACATGGGGACTCCATGCTCAAAAAGGTGCTAGTGAGTCCCATAGGGGTCGTGCAGCATGTTTGTCATCTGTGTACCTCCCTCTTTCATGTAATTTGATGGATCCTAATAGAATGAATTTGTAAGAAGCGATCACATTCAAGATATGTGTGAATAATTCATAATTACAAAGATATAACACTGCTTATTTGTTTTCTTGACACCATAGAGGAACAGATTACTCAGCAGTGTTGATCTAAAGAGGAATTACCAGCATCACCATCCACAAATCCAGAAATCCCAGGACAGGACTAAAAAAAAAGCCCATAAAGCCCCCAAAAAGAAAAAGGAAATCAAAAGAGATCCAAGGAAAGTGCCCCAAACAACAAGGAGATGAACAAAAATCAAAGGACTCCAAGGAAGTGAACTAGACAACCAAAAGGTGCAATTCCTTCCCCTTTCCTCTACATTCTAAGTTTCACACCAAGCCAGCCAAACCACCAACCCCACACCCTACCTGCCAACCCAAACCCTCAGTGATTATCATAACCAGGAATATTCAGGGTCTCGATGACCTCCCAAAAGAAAACCAAATTCCAAAATACAAACCCATCATCCTAATGCTAAAGGAAACCAGAATAACCTCTGGGAAATTCATGAAAACCTTCAATAAATTAGACGTATCTTATGAACCAATAGCAAATGATGATAAGCTAGATGGGGGCAATTGATGATAAGCTAGAGGGGGGCTGAATATGGATCCTCCTCGAAAAGGACATAATCCTTCAAGTCATTGCCTCATTCCTCCAAACCATTCACATAAACTTCATAGAATGATCCACATCCACTAAACGCACTTTATCCACCATCTATGCCTTCAACATCCCCCTCTCTCGTCAAGAGATGTGAACTCTCCAATCTTGCCCCTATTATTAGTACAAAACCATGGCTGGTGGCCAGGGACTTCAATGTCCCAGCCTATGAAAATGAAAAAAGAGGTGGGCAGCGCACACCTAGGAAGCATAAAATTGACCTCCTACACATGATTCAGAGAAATAGCCTTTTAGACTTAGAGGAAACACTGCTCCAAATACTCATGGAGAAATAATAAAGTAGGGAGTGCCTCAATCTATGAAAAACTAGATAGAATTTTGGTGTCCAATCAATTGCTAAGTTATTTGCCGATCTCTAAAAAATCAAGTCTTACTAGACAGAACATGTCTAATGAACCTTCTTCCCGACCATAACCCTATCCAACTTCAAATTGAACAATGAATAGATTGGGGCCAAAAACCTATTAAGTTCTTAACATGTGGATTAAGCACAAAGTGGAGAATAGATCATTAAAAATTATTGGAGTGAAAAAACATGAAGGGCTGAGCAATGTATAGAAAAAATTTAAAAACATAAAGAATGCCCTGAAAAAGTGGAACCTCGAAAATTAGGCAACTTGAAAGCACATTACAATTGATACAAGACCAACTTGAGTCCAAATCTTCAACTATTGAACTCCACAATTACGTAAAGAAGATTGAGGTAGAGCTTTCCAATGAGCTCGATAACAAAACTTCCTTACAGCATCAAAAGTCAAGACAAACCTGGCTTACCCAAGGTGATTCTTTTACTAAATTCTTCCTCTCAAAAACCATGTCAAGAAGGTGTAGATCCACTATTCTAAAAGTAGGATGGCTCAGCCACCAATAACAAGGAGGAAATGGTAAAAGAGACTACTTCCTTCTATAGTTCTTAGGATCAAAGAGGGACCGCGAGCAGAAATGGAAGATCATGAAATTGAAAATCCCTATGGCAGAGAGGCTGTCCATACAAATAAATATCTTAGGGATCTAGATCCCCAAATTTAGGGGTTGAGCTCCCAACCTTTTGGGGATTTTGATCCCGACCTTTTGGGATCTTGATCCCAACTTTTGGGGATCTTATTCCCAAACTTAAAGAGTATAATAGTCTAGGACTATATACATTGTTTAAAGTGGGGATCTCTTTATAATTATGCCCTTCTGGGCAAGTGGTGGTGGAGGTACGCAACTCAACCAAGCCATCTCTGAAGAGATATCATCAAGCACAAGTATTGTCGTGGTAACGAACAATGGATTCCTGTTTGCAGAAGTAGTGCTCAAACTTCTTGTTTTGGGAAATCAATCTTCAGGTGTCACGAATTATCCTTTCGCAATATTCACTTTCACCCTAGGGAGGGGACCAGGGTGATGTTTTGGAATGATATTTGGGTCGGCAGTAGACCCCTTAGGGAGCAGTTCCCTAATGTCTTCCGGTCAGCACAAGATGCTCAGTCTACAGTGGAAGAAAATTTTGTGCTCTCTGGCCATCTCAGATCATGATCACCAAATTTCAGCCGACCCCTCAATGATTTCGAGATCGACAAATTTGGAGCTCTGGCACAAATTCTTCATCCTGTATTCCTTCCAACCTCCAGTAATGACATGATTATTTGGGAACCATCACCCTCAAGGATGTTCTCAGTCTCTTCCTTCTTTTGTTCTCTAGCCCCCACCACTGCTAACCCCAATATTTCTTGGCTATCAAGAGCTTGGAACCCTTTTTTGCCGCCTGATCCAGGTCTTTTGCTGGATCCATGAGAGAGTGTTGACGATCGATCTTCTCCAAAGAAATAAGAGTGCAATGCCCCAATCGATGTTCCTTGTGCATGAAGAATGAAGAAACCAATGCACACTTATTCCTTCACTGTGATTTCGCCAGAGAACTGTGGACCTATCTGTTGGGCCTATTCCAATGGACTTGGGTCACTCCTAGCGCCATTCCGCACTTGTATCATGCTTTTCTCTACACTCCCTGACCCAAGGCAGGAAGAGAACTTTGGAAAACATCAGTTTCAGCCACATTGTGGGTTCTGTGGATTAAAAGAAAACAAAGGATATTCAAAGAAGAAAGATCTTCGGTTGGGGCATTGGCAGACAAAGTCAGGAACTTAGTGGCCTTTTGGGCCACGAACCATAGCTTGTTTAAAGGAATCCCCTTAGCTGCTTTTTATAGGAACTAGCACAACTTACTCCAGGGGGCTAAGCCAACAATCTCAAGATCTTCTCTTTGGAGACCACCCGAAGTAGGCTCCATCAAGCTCAACTTTGATGACTGCTCCCTTGGGAACCCTGGCCCCTCCGAAGTAGGTGGGCTCTTTCGTTCATCTGATGGACAGATCTTGCATGCCTTTTCCTGCCCCATTGGCCTCGAGGACTCAACTGTAGCCGAAGCCATGGCCCTTTTAGAAGGTCTACGCAGATTTTGCATCACCTTCACACCCTGGTGGTGGAAGGGGACTCTAAGAATGTCATAGCTTGGGCATCAGGTCTCTCTCCTTGCCTGTGGCGCCTACATGACATCTTTGATAAAATATCCAACTGGTCATAGAACATCTCAATCTCATGGTGCCATATTTCTCAAGAGGCCAATTCCGATGCTGATTATCTTGCTAAAGAGGGAGCCTACTATAATTCCCTGGGGAGGCTTTAGATTTCGTTAGATCAGCCAGATGCCTTCTTGGAGTTGTAACTTTGCTTTTGCACCATTTTTAATACCCTTCAGGGTTGTATTAGGTGCCCTCTAAGAGGGTCCCATCTTGTGTACATTTTATTACTCAGTAATACAATTATACCACCTTCGCTCAAAAAAAAAAGTGGGAATCTCTTTATTTATAGTCAGCAAGCAATTCAACCATATTAAAAATATAGTTGTGTTGCTGTTTGCTATAAATAATGAAAATCATCAGTTTGATTGTTATCTTGGCCTCTAAGGTTGAGATTGAAATCCCTAACACTAGGAATCAGGATCATTATCATTGGGGACTGAGATCCCAAAATTTAAAAATCGAGATCCCTTGAAGAGCCCATTCCCAGAGCGCCGGAGAGAGATTTTTGGAGTGGGATCGCCATCATGGTGGGAAATCCCGGCAACTCCTTGAGACCAGCCAACCTATTCACCAATCTTCTTAGGACCAGCCAACCTATTCCCAATCTCCTAAGGACCAGCCAACGTATCCACAATCTCTCCTAAAACCCATCCGATCCTAAATCTTTGACAAGGACAGCTTCCTTCTATAGGGGGATGTTTCCTTAGAATATATCATCAAAACTGTCATAAGCCTTCCTCCAAATGAATACTAGGGGCTTGATGGCTTCCCTTCTGAATTTTTTCAAACGTTTTGGGGATATATTGGGCCTGAAATATCTCAAGCGACTAAAGACACCTTCAAAAAACAACATATCATGCAAAGCCTCAACACCACTTTCATCAAATTCATCCCTCAGAAATGAATATTCTCTCCATGACCGATTTTGGCCCAAGTAGGCATTGCAATGTTACCTATGTGGTGATAGGCAAAACCATTCTTAATAGGCTAGAGTTGGTTCTCAATTGTATCATCATCCCAAATCAAGGAGCTTTCCTAAGCTACTTGCCCACAAACTTATCCACACTATGGCTAACAACAATACAGAAATCTCCTCTTGCCTTAAACTAGATGTTCACAAGGCTTTTGACAAGGTTAACTGGGACTTCCTTTGAATAAACTAAAAAAATATGGCTTTGCGGAGCACCCCCTTTAGCTACTTTGGGGGATAAAATGGGCCTAGACAAGGAGACCCACTCCCTCATCATCTTTTCATTCCAGTCACAGAATGCTTCAGCAAGATCATTATCTATGATGCAAGAGAAGGGAATTTTATACCATCCGAGATCCTAAGAGTCACCTCCCCTTCACATTTAATCTCTGCAGATGACCTCCTGGTCTTTGAAAAAATCCACCCATCAATTCCATAAAACCTCCCTTGACCACTTCCAAAACATATCAGGACTCCAAAAAAACCACTCCGAAACCAATACTTTTTTCTTCCAACCACCACTCTATTAAAACCAAGTTAGTCCTTTCTTAGCAACCTTTCAGAGATACCCTCAATTTATCTTGGATTGTCAATGTTCAAAGAGAAACTTACACATCACCTTTACCAATCTCTAGTAGATGAACTCGCGTGTTGGCTTCAAGATTGAAACCCTTTCATATCAAGGATGACTAGCTCGGATAAATCTTACCTCCCTTTTGTATGCAAATTCCTCTCCAACACAACCAATACCCATGAGAAACTTTAAGGGGCCTCCCTTTGGGGAAATCAGCTTAACCAAAAACATTCAAGCATTGTCCATTTGAACCCAGTTTGTTAACCCAAGGGTGAAGGTGGGCTTGGTATCAAAAGAATCAAGGAGATGAACCCAATACTATTACCCAAGTTAAGATGGGAATTGACAAGTCGGGAGGAGTCCTTGTGGTCAATATTAATTAGGAAGAACTACCTATAGAGACACCACTTAAGGGATTCCAAGACCACAAGGAGTGATTCATGGGCCTGGAAGGCATACATTGCACGGTATCAATCATCAAAGACAGCTCCCACAGAGTAAAGCGCGATGATAAGGTAGAAGAAATTAGTTGGATTCCCTCTCAAGAGTATCAATGAGGTGATTAGAGATCATGGAAACAGAAATGAGGTACTCATAGCTATATGGAAAAGCTCAACCCACCTATGGCTTCCTTGTTCACTTGGTTGGAATACTAAGAAAGAGTACATGCAAATGATAGAATTGAACGATTGGGACTTCAAGTAGGAAACATACGCTACTTGTGCAAAATAGAAAGGGAGAGCCATGACCACTACTTGTTCACATGTTGCACCTTTGTCCATCACCTCTGCCAAACTGTTTTGAGGAAGTTCCAAGACACAAAAGCCAGCATCAACGCCAAAAGTCTAATAGCATTCTGGTTCCAACAGAAATTCCCCAACAAGTTCCTTGATAGAATACAGAAAGTCTCCCGCCGTAACCTTATATGGGCCACTTGGCAAGATAGGCATGGGAGAGTGAAAAAGAATCGCTATCAATCCGTTCAAGTCTTACTGAGAGAGATCATATGGAAAATCAGAAGTTGCATCCCAGACACCACATACCTCCTCCGAGGAACGATCGTGAGGTTCTTATTTACGCGAGACGGGACTATTGCCCCTCACACCAAAGGCAATGATGATGTTATTTTTTGTGAACTGTAGTGAGGACACTTGTACATTGTGAGCGCATGTAAAGCCCTTTGCACTTCAGTTTTATATATTCCTTTGGTACATTTTTTACAGAGGGTATGGCCCTTGATGGAGCAAAATAACGGACCATGATTCGTGTAACGGACCCAAATTAGTTGAAAAAAGACCCTAATAATGATGATGATAAATAAATAAATAAATAAATATATATATATGAGTAAACCTTGCCAGCTATAATGAATAGTAATATGGTGGAGTGGGAGCCGTCAGATCTTCATCACGTGGTTCAGAATGCATATCACCATATGAATTTTAATTTTTTTTTCTATAAATCTGATTAAGATGAAATTTTGGCTGCATATACCTAACATTATTGCGCACCATATAAAAATATAAAAAACTTATTTTCAATAATTTAAAATGACCAAATTACCCCCATCATTTTTTAGGGGTATTTCGGTCATTTTAATTTTGGCAAATATTTTTTTATATATTTTTTAATTGTGCACCCTATTTTTTAGTATGCACATTTAAAATTTCATTATTATCTGATCTCTAGAAAAATTATTAAAATTCATATAATGATATGTATAGATCTGACAGCTTCCATTCCACCTATATTACTATTTATTATAACTGCTCTCTATATTACTATTC